GTCCATTCTTATTGATTTTAGAGAGGGGGGATACTTACTTATTGAACGCCCCTCGTATGTCAAAATTTTTAAATTATTTCATCGGAATCAGAACGTACGGAAATTTTTAACTTAAATCGATACCAAGAAATCCAAAATCGGCCCATCCGTATCCAAAATACCGACCCCTAAAGGTGGGGGACGGAGCCCCCTTTCAAAAAAATTCAAGCTCGTTAAATTGACGTGGAGACTCGGAAAAATGTGTACTTAAGGGTAATCGACCCCAAGGAATCCAAATTTGAGGGTCCCGTTGTCCTCAGAGACATTTCTGGTGGGGCACAGGGGTAACCTCCACACCGGTTAAAATTAAAAGTTCAGAGACCCCCTGTGCCCCATCAAAAAAGTCTCTGAGGACAACGGGACCCTCAAAGGATTCCTTGGGGTCGATTACCCTTGAATTTTCATTTTTTTCCGAGTCTCCACGTCAATTTAACGAACTTGAATTTTTTTGAAAGGGGGCTCCGTCCCCCACCTTTGAAGTCCTGTACTTCGTACCTTCCCGTTCGTCCCTCGGGGGAGAGGGGGGGGGGTTCCTAGCAAAATGTTGAAATCTATCAAAATCAGACCTCCCCTCATCCCAGGTATCAGTGATCGCGATAAATAGCGATTTTATCGGGTCGGATGAAATTGTCATTTATAATCCGAAAATATCGCGATAAATGGCGATTTAATCTCGATTTTATCGAACCAAAAATTGCGATGTGTAGCAACTTAATCGTCATAGATCGCAATTTTTAATGCGGTAATATCTCGATATATTGCCACCGATATAATGGCAATAACCAACCGATAAAATTGCTACTTATCGCTATCACTGCTACTTGGCACTTTAGATCAGTTCTGAAGGGAACAGGGATAGGAGGAAGGAGCGTAGTCTGTATACAGGGTGTTCCAGGATTAAGTACGAAGATTGAAAGAGTAGATGCTTTGGGTCAAAAAAAGACGTTTTTGCGGTTTATCTTTTTTTCCAAAAACGCTTGCCCTGGGGGCCACGGCCTACCAAAGTTGGAGAAGAAAAAATCGTCTTTCTAACACTGAGACAATGTCTAAAAACGAATATCAATGAAAATCGGTGAATGGGGGTAATTTTTAGAGCTCTTTTCATTTTTGAACTCCAAAAAAGGGAAAATTCATTTAGAAGGGGGGATAGGAGACGTATCGAACCTAAAAGTGGCCAAAATTCAAGTTTCTAGCGACAAAAATTGATTTTTGACGACACCACTAGATTTAGCGTCGAAAAATATCACGTATATGTGTCCAGCGGATTTTCGATATGACTCATCATTTTCGAGATAATAGGGACTGAATGGAGTGCGGGTGGGTGCAAAGGGGGTGGGGTGGCCTCCAGGGAAAGCGTTTTTGGAAAAAAAAGTTATACTGCAAAATCGTCTTTTTTGCACCCAAAGAATCGACTCCTTCAATATTCGTCCTTAATCCCGGGACAAACCGTGGATTGCTGCGTGCTTAGCACGCAAGGGCCACCAGTATTTAATAATTAATTGGTTCTCTGGAATGTTTGCTTTCAAGGGTTCTTGGCTTCCAATTTTCGTTTTAAAAAAAAATAGTAATTTTGTCTTTTCTATCCTTGATCATGTCTCAATTGTTTCATATTTTCCAGCCTGCAAGCTGCAATAAAGGGCACTCAGTTCGGAAATCCAATTTGAATCATCGCTCTGGTAGTCTAACCGCCCTGAATAATCCTTTTTTCCCTCCACTTTTGCAGGTAATTTATGCTTTCAATTAATTAAAATCCCAAATATTATTCATTACATATTGTTGTTCTGTATAAAATCTCGAATACTGGTAGTTATCAAAGGGTCTAAGAGTCAAGTGTAACTTACCTCTTTGTAAACCTACGGATTCTAATTTCTTTAAAATTTTGTGGCAGAAGTCATCATTTTTAAGATTCTGTTTGGAAAGCACTTAAATACTTAGTCCTTCTAACCATCCTCCAAGGTTAAACTTATCCAAACAACTATTTCATTCATGTTGTACGATTATTTTGGAAGACGCTTCAGTTCTTTACACCTATTCTTTGAAGATGTAGCTGTAGTAGAAGTAAACAAATATTAAATTATCGAACAAATTTTGCTAAAATACTCGTTTATTTCTAAATGGTCTCTTTTGTAAAGAAAAAAGAAAAGAAAAAAACAACTCTAAATTAAAGCTGAACGTATTCGAACGCAGAAAGAATTGTCATTATTTTTATTATTTTTCAGTCACCTCAACGTACGTTCTTAAAGAGCCGGTTGCTTTTCCAGCCGATCACCGGAGGTTAACTTTATCTTTAGGGTCATCATTTCAATTCATAACTTTTCGAACTATGCGGGCCGTCTGTAGCACTACTGTTTTGTGCAAAGATGTCCTTATAGGTTGTGCTCTCCTGGTATTTTCTCTATTTTTTCGGTCGAGCCGATTACCTACAACTGGAATCATCTCTGATTTCATCATTCTTATTAATTTGACTAATTGAATGTAATATCTCGCAATCGTATATCCTCAGCTTTATTTTATTTAAGGTTTATAAAATTGATTTTTGAAAGATTCCGGGAGGAAACTGGTGAAATAAGTGTCCCTGTATGTGATGGCTCCTTGTTTTGCCAAATTTACTCCATATCTCGATGTTCCTTTACCTCCGGTGTCAGGTCACCTTACGCTTACTGCACAGTTATACCAATCTACAAGACTACTTTTGGTGGAAGAGTATTTTCCCAGGAGGTAAACTAAAGTAATATCATTTTCACTTTGAAAAATTCCTGGTTCAATAATATTTCAACTTAATAGACTCGATACTTTTTAATCATTAAATTTTTTTTTCTTCTCTGAAGGGTCAGTCAATGGCTCATCTTAATTGTCCAAGTTGCTACCAACATGGAAATTGGGATTGGAGCGGCAATATAGACCATTTTGACTCACCATCTCTGGCTCCGTGGGCACGTACCTCAACTGGAACATGGCATGGCTCTCAGATGCTTCCCTCAGCATGCCGCCAACAAAACTCTCTATTTGATGACTCATTTTGCCGCCACCCAGGCATGCCTTTTCCTCCCACTCCGTTCAGAAGCTCAAATCGGAGTAAAAAGGACTTGAGTCAGGATAGTTATGAGGATGAATCATCAAAAGCTAATGATCATAAATTTTTATCCAGCACATCCCCAACACTCTCTAAACAAAACTGTGCATCAAGTGACTCAGAAGGAGAAACAGCATCAAGGTGTGGCTCTCGGCATAGGAAAAAATCACATGGTGCACAAAGCCGAGAAACTTCTCCTGCTCTCTCAAAGCACTCTACGCGACGGTATAGAAACGAATTTCTACATCGCAGTAGGAGGTTCAAAAAGACAGCTTCGAGAAATGTGTCTCCCGTACGATCAAGGAAAAATAATCAGCGGGACCTCAGTGACTCGGATGATAATAATTCGCTCAAATTGCCCCAAACCAAACTGATTTTATCAAAAATTAAATCCAAGGAATCAAAAATTGATTCTAGGTCATCAGTTGAATCAGTGAAAGACTCAAGTTCTTGTGAAGATAATTTAGAGGAGCAAGAAAAGGAGAACATCCCATTCGTCCCAGCTGTTGATTGGGAATGTCAACATTGCACATTTATAAATAAACCCGGATCTAGAATTTGCTCTGTGTGCTGCAAAACAACATCCAGCCTCCAAATGAAGAATGCAGCCAAAGTAGAAGCCTCTGAAAAAGAAAGCACGATAACACAGTCATTACAAAAGTTAAATATTTCCAGCTCTTTCGTGGTTAATCCTACCAGCAGTACAGATGTAATACATGATTCTTGTCCAGAATCAATCGTAGTCAAGGATAATGTTCAGCAGTGTGGCAAAGGTAAGGCCAGGTCTCCTCTTGGATTGGCTTTTGTGCGTTTGGTCCAGGTATTGCTTCGACAGCTTTAGTCAGAGTTGCTCTATAATTGAGCATAACGCAAGCATACAGGGTGTTCCAAAAGTCCAGGCCCCCCACCCTCTAACCTTTGAATGGTTCAAGATAGAAATATGAAACTTCGGGAATGTTCCTACCTCAAATGGGACCATATTTTTTATGGGGGGGGGGTCAAAATATTGGTCCCCCCTCAGAGGAGGGGGGCGGGGGGCCCCCAACTTTTTTTCTTCAATCAGCAACCCCTATCTTGTGATATCTCATTCGAAAGAGTATAAAAAACTAAGAATTTTGGCGCAAACTGCAGATCAGTAACTCAATTTTTGACCGAGTTATGATAGGTCAAAGGTCAAATTGGACCTATTTTCAAAAAATCGTAACTCCGGTTCAAATTATCGTAAAGAAAAAAATTAAGCGGAAAAATTTACCAAATTATGTTCGCTTTTAAGTGAAAATGGCAGAAATCACTTCGAACTAATTATAAGGGGGGGGGGGCTCGGACCCCCAAATACGTCAAATCAAAGGTCATTCAATTTTCCCGCGAAATGAGCCAATTTCCCCTAAATTTGCCTCCAAATTATCTCAAAACTTAAAAATCAGTTCAACTTTACGTTGGCAAGTCCCCAAATCTGGGGAAAAGTTCAAAAAAACGAAATTTAAGGTGATTAAATTTGACCGTTTAAATTTCGTTTTTTTGAACTTTTCCCCAGATTTGGGGACTTGCCAACGTAATGTTGAACTGATTTTGACGTTATTGAGATAATGTGGAGGCAAATTTAGGGGAAATTGGCTTATTTCGCGGGAAAATTGAATGACCTTTGATTTGACGTATTTGGGGGTCCGAGCCCCCCCCTTATAATTAGTTCGAAGTGATTTATGCAATTTTCACTTAAAAGCGAACATAATTTGGTAAATTTTTCTGTTTTATTCTTTTCTTTACGATAATTTGAACCGGAGTTACGATTTTTTGAAAATAGGTCCAATTTGACCTTTGACCTATCATAACTCGGTCAAAAATTGAAATACTGATCTGCAGTTTGCGCCAAAATTCTTAGTTTTCTGTGCTCTTTCGAATGAGGTATCACAAGATAGGGGTTGCTGATTGAAGAAAAAAAGTTGGGGGCCCCCCGCCCCCCTCCTCTGAGGGGGGACCAAAATTTTGACCCCCCCATAAAAAAATATGGTCCCATTTGAGGTAGGAACATTCCCGAAGTTTCATTTTTCTATCTTGAACCATTCAAAGGTTAGAGGGTGGGAGGCGTGGACTTTTGGAACACCCTGTATAAGTATTTCAATACACTCCCCAGGCTTGTGCATGACTAGGACATTGCCAGTAATATTATACTAGTAATATCAGGTGCGTTACACCAAGTAAGTGCTGATCAACACATTAAAGTGAGCAGCACTCAAGTAACAATATGTGATACTACTACTAACTAAAACAATTAATACCTTATGTAATGCTGACATAATGCCTATGTAAAGCTGGCGTATAACTTTGTAAATTGTGATCTTCTATGTTTATCCTTTTTAACTCGTTTTTAACTGCATTCTGAATAACCAGTATTAAACCCATTTTTGGCAGGGATAACTACTTTAATATCCCTTGACTTTTATCTATTTATTTATTATTTTCTTTCAGAGAACTAACTAACATTTCCCTTGAAAGTTTGCAAGAATATCCTTTACCAGCGGTCACCTACGAAGCGGGTGACTTTGGAGCTCTCTTTGCGAGCCTCCGTGTAAGGTAGCCCCACTAAACTGATCGAATGACCTTACTTGGTTTACCCATTCATAATACATTCATTAGTCTATAAAAGCTGCCGTACCGGCTCACTCTGCCCCCCTCCCCCCTGTGGCGAGGAAAAGCGAGAACTCGTACGATCCTGATCGTCAGAAAGCAAGCCTTCCGGAAAGGATCGAGCTTCAGCAGATCAAGCCACAAATTTAGGGTGCCAGATGCTCGTCGGGACGCCTGGGTTCGGGCGCCAACACACTCGAAGTGCGTAATCAAAAATGTAATTTTCCTGAGGTGAGGACAGGATTGGCAGGAAGAAATAATGAGAGCAAATTTGAACATTATAGAGTCAATTTTTATTGACGAGAAAAGAAAACCATTTCTTGAACACAATTACAAACTTAAAAATTCTCAAAACAAAAAAATAAACTAAATGCGAGATCAAAATTTGGATGATTGAAGACGAATGAGTTGATCGGATTGACTTTAAAAAAATACTTTGAAAGGAACGGTAAAAGGGACATAAATAATTTCGAACTTTCGAATAAAATTCTCTTCGATTATTTATTTGACCTTAAATCTCCCAAACAACCGGTGCGACTCACCACGTGCACTCAATCTTGAATGGTAGATTTAGGATTCAAAATAACTATTTTCAAAATAAATTCCAATAACAACCAAAATCCCAGGTGCTACTCAACACGTGCACACACTTGGATTTGATCGATTACGAGAGAATTATTTTGTCCAAAATACTTAAATAAAATAGTATGTCTGTTTCCATATGTAAAAGTCGTTAAAGAAAAATTTCAATTCGAGATTATTAATAGGTATAAGATTCATGTAATTATTTATCATAGGAGCTACCCAAAAATGGATGCGTCACGCAGGTAAATAATTACAAGAGAGTTTGTACTTTCTATTGCGAGCGTGCTACTCATCACGTGCACAGCTCTGCAATAGAAAGGATCCGATTGAACGTTTAACTCATCTCGGTCGGATCACCGCGGTGATGTACCGGTCGGGACCCCATCAAATCCGTTTTATCTAGCTTCCGTGCGCGTCGACCAACTTCATTCGACTCCAATAAGTGGAATATACAATTAAATAATCTTTTCCTTACATCAAACTACTTGCCTAAATTAGCTTTACGATTTTCTTTAAATTTGGTGAAAACAATTAATTAAGTAAGCTAAAATAATAAATAACCGACTTTTTTCTCAGAAGTCTGAACGACTGAGCCATCGTGCACACGCTAAACAGCTGAGTAGTCGGGTACAAGAGGTTCCAGATCGCTCCGCGAGAGCGCTCGAGTGGCGCGCGGCCGACCGGTGAACTGCGGTACTTTGCCGTTCCTACAGAATGCGCTACTGTCGCAATCACCTGCTACAGCTGTAGTCATCGAAATTGTTTACGTATGATTAAATCTGGGCACGGTTTAAAATCAAACAAAATTTCCTATGTGATTACTTATTCGAAACTTAAGTGACGGAAAATATTACCGTCATACCCCCCTCCTAGAGACAAATTGGCTGAAGCGATTTCCTTTAAACTTGGTACACGCTTAGCAATTGTCGTGAGGGGTTGATCAAAATTATTTCGATCCCAATACGTTGCCCAAGACGTCCGCAAGAGCGAAAAGTTGTTTCTTCGCATAGTAATGCATTGGATATGCGAGGTTGTTTACGCGTACCGTGCCGAACAGGATCAATCCTAATATCGGCAGCATTATGGACGAGATTCCAGGTTTTAGGGGGTATTTTTCGACGGATTCATGTGAAAATTGGTGGCGGGGGCAACTTTTTGACGGGAAACTCGAATTTTCGGTCAGATTTTTAAAATTTCAAATTCCAAGATGGTGGCCGTGGCTTAAAATGCTAAGTCGGCTCCTGTTCGAACGATTTTCGTGAAATTCGGTGTCCGAGGGTATTTTTCAACAGGAAACTCGAATTTTTGGTCAGATTATCAAAATTCCAAAATCTAAGATGGCGGCCTCGGCGTAAATGCGAAGTCGGCTCGCCTGTTCCATTGATTTTTGTGAAACTGGGAATTCCGGGTATTTTTTAGTGGGGAACTCGAATTTTTGGTCAGATTTTCAAAATTTTAAAATCCAAGGTGGCGACCGCGCGGTATAATGCGGTCTCGGCTCCTGGACCATCAATTTTTGTGAAACTTGGTGAAAAAGAAGGGGTGGGAGCGGCCGCGAGCCGCAACTCCATCGCGAAGCGAAGAACCAGGGGTTCAGGGGCATTCCCCGGCTAGGCGTGAAAACTCGCATAGCGAGCTAAACACGGCTAGTCTATATAAATGACATCGTTGGGGTTTCTTTGTAACGCTTATTTCTGAAATTCTACCGGACCGATTTCGACGATGCTTGATTCTGGTAAAAGCTCTTGACGTCCAGATGTCTGCAAAACTATCAAACCTCCTTTTTCAGCCTCTTTCACCTAAGACGCTCTGAAATCCAAATCCGCCCCCCCCTCCGACCTTAAGTCCCCGAGGGTTGACGCGAGTTCCCGTTGTAACACCTAATTTGAGCGATCTACCAGGGCGATTTTCACGATTTTTGTGTCGACTGAAAGCTTTTACCTTCAAGATGCTCGCACACATACGAAACTTTCGAATTTGTCAGCCACATCTACGAAAACCGCTGGGAAATGCTAATACTCCCCTCCTCCTACCAAATAACTCAAGTAGCAGAGGTTGCAACAACTTGCAACAAAATCATTTGATTCGTGCAACTAATAGATTGACGTGCGGATTTCCCCCGAAGGAGCTATCATTGTTTGGACTAGTTTCAATTAACTTGTAATATGATACAACTTCAAAGTGTTGCTGGTTGCCTCTCTTTCAATTTCAGGGACTGGGAGAATATTGCAAATTGTTGGTAAGGAGTCGAAAGAAGTTCCTTGCCAGCTTAGGTAAGATTCGTAATAAAAACGTGTACTTTCAAGAATTCTACTAACGTTGGAAAATTTCGAAAAACTTGGCACGCCGTCAAAAATTCACATTTTTTAGCACTTTAGAAACGTTAGTAAAATCAAGAGTTTCCGAGATTTGCCGCGCGCGTTAATGTAAAAATCCAGACTTTTCGAGAATTCGGTAACATTGGTAAAAATGCACCCTTTTCGATAATTTTGGCACCATTGATAAAAGTTTAATTTTCCGTCCTCGATAACTTTTAAAAAATTCATTGTTTCCGAGAACTATG